TGCAGGATTATTTACAGTGTAGCTCTCATAGGTTCCCTTTGTCTTTGATATTCTGTATTTTATTCTGAGCAGCATCACATTGGATTAGGTCCCACTTTAATGACCTCATGTTAATTTAATTGTCCTTTTAAGGCCTCCGTTTTCAAATACAGTCACATTCTGAGGTTGTGGGGTCTAGGATTTCAACAAGTGAATGTTGGGAGATACAATTCTACACATAACAAGGGCAGGAAAATTCTGATGGATATGTTCTTTGTCCAGGAGCATTTATACAGCTCACTCCTGTGTAGACTTGTCTGCTCCCAGGATGCCTTCATGGAACCAAGTGATTTCTTACAGAAATATCCCCCACCCTTTAGTCTTAAAATAACTGAAGCCCGCCTGCCCATCAAAGCTCATAACATGCTTCTACTTCTACCAGTGTTTTCTGAATCCTATATTTTACCTTATACTTTATCTTCCCCTCACTATAGAAAAGTATCGCATCCCTCCTCTGAGCTCAGATAATAGCATGCTGTCTGTACTTTCCTTATGAACTTGCTGCTGATGTTATGGTACTTCATATTCCGGTCATTGCATCTGCTAGATGTAGCACCCTGAGGGAAAATCTCCATCTGATTCATCTTTGTATTCTTACAGTCTGCTCAATAAATATTTGTTGAAGGAATAAATGTATGATAACAAAAACAGCCAAGCTTACCTATATTTCCCAGCTAAAGTCACCTGTTGAAAAGTTACCCAACTCCTTGATGAATAATTGACTAATTTTAAGACATTACATGCTTAGCAAAATTTTTGCCAGCTACTCAAGGTGATCACTTTGAAAGCTTCGGTGGAACGGGCTGAAATGAATGTGTACCTTTACACGGGCAGATGGATACCGTTCATAAAGAATGTATGTCATAGTGCACCCATGTGAAATTCTCAGTGACTCATGCAAGAGGTCCAAGGAGAAGAGAATTGGGTTGGAATTTTTTTTCTCAGTGATTTGCCTAATTTCTATATAAAATATTTTCTAGGCTAGAGAAGAAAGCACTTTCTGATTTTTTTCTCATATTTCATTTTAAAGAGAGTTCCCAGACTTCGACTCTTTTTAAAAAATTTTTTTCTTTTCTTTATTAATTTTTTTTTCTTTGTAGAAAGAAAGGAAGGAAGAGGGAGAGAGATATAAACAGTAATGAGAGAGAACATTGATTGGCGACCTCCTGCAAGTCCCCCACTGGGCATTTGCCCAAATCCTGGGCATGTGCCCTGACCGGGAATCAAACTGGTGACCTCTTGGTACATGGGTCAACGCTCAACCACTGAGCCACACTGGCCAGGCTTGACCTTTATTTTAAATGATGTTTTTGTAACAAACTTCCTGAGCTGACAAAGAACACACAACATTTATGTAACTGTGGCTACCACAGATGTTTTACTATTTGAAAGTCCTTACGTAAATTTTTTTTTCATCCTCACCTGAGGACATTTTTTCATTTTTTGTTTAGAGAGAGAGAGAGAAACATTGACATGAAAGGGACACATCGAGTGGCTGCCACCTGCATGACCCAACCAGGGCCAGGGACAAACAGCAACCGAGATATGTGCCCTTAGCAGGAACTGAACCCGGGTCTCTCTGGACCGCAGGCCGACGCACCAAACACTGAGCCAAACCGGCCAGGGCTCTCAATTGCTCTTTTATACATAGCCAAACTGGCCAGGGCGATTCCTCTTATCTTTATCACATGTGTATCTCTATAACATACAACTGTAATACAATATAATAGGACTACAATACAATAATAACATAACTATATGTTCTATATATCTCTATATAATACATAAACAATACAATAATAATATACAATTATATTTCTATAACATATCACTGTGATAAACATTTCAAGTAATGTGTGATTGGGTTTTTTTTTTAACTTCTGGTCTCTTGACTTATTGTGCTTTAAATTCTTTATCAACAAAGATCTGAACACTTACTGAATATCCTCAGCCTTGTGGTGATAACCTTTCCCTTTATTTTGGTTTGTGTTACTAAAGTAGGGTGCACCTGGGACAAAGGGGCTGTGCACCGATGCCTTCCAGGAGATCAGTCTGCTTCCACTTCACAACATTTCTTCAACTGCCATTAACTCTGATTCCAGCAGAACTAGGGACATCAAAGTGTCTCTCTTTTTTTTTTTTATAAGATAGATTTTACCATGACCATATTTTAAAATACAAATAAAAAATTTTTATTACTCTAGTTAAAATGGCTTATCATATTTTTATTCACGTCTTTTATATTTCTTTGGTGCCTTACATTTCAAGGCAATGACCTTTAATATAGCAATATAAGTACAGAGTGATCTTGTAAAATGTTAACAACCATCAGATAGCCTAGATAAGAAACAAAATTGCTGATTAAAAGCCTAAAGAAATATAAAATTGAGAAGTCCAATCAAAAATCTTTACAGAAAATAGTCTAATTCTTTATAGATAAGCAGTTCATGCATTGCAGCCAATAAATGTCCTCTCCCCTTCTTCCTCTTCTCCCTTCACCTCCCTCTCAGGCACCGACCCACTGAGCACCTCTCACCCTGCCTCATTCTTTGTTCAGTGAGATGAAAAAAACAACAAAACAATTCTGTCCCCGGTTCAATTCCATGACTTCTGGGAATGCCTGCACAGAGGTCAAAAGTTTCGGTGATTTTCCACTCACACCAGACATCAGCCTGGGGGGAAGGCAGAGTTCTAGAGGCCGAAGGTGTCTGCCACCGCAGGTCAGCCTCTCGTGCTGAGGGGCCTGATCCAGACCAGAGCTAAGTCAGCATGTTGGGTGAACATATGAGTAGAAACAGTGATGTATTGTGTTGAATTAGTACAAGATATGGGCAATTCCCTTCTATTTAAGTTTTGAGAAGGAAACAAGGAATTTTCTTTTCTTCTCATCATTGCTTCATCTTTACTTCAACACTGCTGAGACTTTCTCCTGAGAGGAAGACTTCAGAGTTCTCGACTCTGCCTCAACAATGCGTTATTCTCCTCTCCCTCTGCACAGCTTCCTTTTCAGTGAAACAAAAAGCTGCTCTTGGCAGTGTGGTTCCTGGTTTGGGATGTGTGAGGAAGAGACACTTCTCACGGGACATTCTGGTGGAAGGGGACTGGGCTGTGGGGGCAGTGCATGAGCTGGATGCCTGTATTGACGTAAGTCTGAGAGCAATGAGGGTTCTAAGTCCTGCTTAGATCTTCCCAGTTGGGAGTACTAAGCTGTAAAGAACAGAAGGGAATAGGGAGGAGATGTGTTAATATATGTGCTGTGGTTGGCATGGAGACCGACTTGGAAAGGCTTTCTATGGGGAGCTACTGGGCATACTCAGTAAGGAGGTATGTTTAGATGACTAAGATCCACCTGAGCAATCAAAATAAAATCTACAGAATAAAACACTCTGGTTCTGGGACACCTCTCCTGGTCTCTGAAGGAAAACTCTTCATTTTGGCCAGTCCCAGTGATGTGGCTTTAGGGGTGGCATCTTCTCTCTCATTTAGAACCAGCTTGTGGCAAAGTGGAGTAAGTGGCTTTCATATACTATCATGGACACTAGTAACTCTTCAGGCTAAAGTCCTGCTCCTGTGGGTTATGCTTCTCATCCTTTTCAAAACAGAGAGGAGAGGGAAGGGAGACCAAAAACTCAAGATCGGGGAGAGGAACACTCCTTTCATAATTTATTCAAGGCAGGCTGTATTTTGTTGTCAAAGTGTTTTAAATGAAACTGAGTTGCATGTTGTTCTCTCCCCTTTTCAGAATGAAGATATTTGTCCTTAAATGGAGGTAGAAGGCACATGTGCTGTCTCTGGGTACCTGCAGCATGTGTGAGAGCTTTGTGACAAGTATTGTATTCTTATCCCTTCTCCACACTGGACTACAATAAAGTATATTAAAAAATAGCATAAAAAGTAACTTAGGCCCTTGCCGGTTTGGCTCAGCGGTTAGAGTGTTGGCCTGCGGTCCCGAGAGACCCGGGTTCGGTTCCCGCTAAGGGCATGTGCCTCGGTTGCAGTTTGTCCCCGGCCCTGGTTGGGTTGTGTGGGTGGCAGCCACTCGATGTGTCCCTTTCACATCGATGTTTCACTCTCTCTCTTTCTCTCTTTCCCTCCCACTCTATCTGAACAAAAAAAATGGAAAAATGTCCTTGGGCAAGGATAAAAAAAAGAAAAAAAGTAACTTAGATCTTAATAACTATGAGCTAGGTAATTTTGGAAATCTTTATGTAAATTTTAGAGACTGAGATTTTGATAGACATATTCAGTTAATTCTTCAGAAGTGTTTAAATCATCTAAGACTTTTCTTAAACAACTTTATAAATCCCTGAGGTAAAGGTCAAAATGCAAAATCTAAAGATAGGACATGATGGTCATTATGTTTCAAACTTGTAATCTTCCATAAAATCTTCCATAAAATGTCTTTCTTTCCAGTAGAACAGGATAAACACTTGAAACTGTGCCATTGGTACTATTAATCCATAAATCACTTTTCAGTTGATAGCAGTGGCTACTTAAAAGTTATCAGAACATACAGTTTGTGCTAATAACAATACAATATTACTTTGTACCAGAAAAACTACATAGTACTTGGAAGTGTTCCAGTAACTGCAAAGGAGAAACAGCAACAACAACAACAACAACAACAACAACAACAAATGCGAACAACATCAACAAAAAAACTTCCTGATTATATGCCTGAGAGAACTGGATTTTAATTCTTGTATTATAAACGATTTGCTGCCCTAATGTTGATTTATTGATGCATCATAAAGATGGGAAGGTTTTGTATTTTTGCTTGTTTCTTAATATGTGGCATAAAAATCCAGAGTTCCCAGTACTTTAACTCACACTTTTTCTTTTATTCAACCCCAGTGATCACTGAAACATACTCTTTTGCTTTCTGGTTATCCATCTCACATTGCCTCCTGTTCTTGCAGTCAGGGCTCTTTGTAGCTGATATCTTTTTTTTTTTTTTTGACCAGGGGACAGCGTGAACACAGTCCCCCATTACCACAAATTATACAGTAGAGCTTCCCACATTTGGGGAAGTTGTAGGGGTTCAGCGCACCCAGAGTGCAATGGATGAGCCTCACCCTGGGGAAACTACCTTTATGATCATGGTATCTCCCCTGCCAGGTAAATATAGCTGATATCTTTTGAAAGCAATAGTTCTCACCCTGAGTTTTTGCCATGATGCTGCACCCCCTGCCCTCAACACACTCCTCTCCTTCTGTCTTTGGGCTGCTCCCCTTTCAGAAGACACAACCATCTATCTACCCAGCTACTCATACCTATAGCTAGGTCAGTGAACCCTCCTGAGCAATTCCCTCTCCTTTAATCCCTCTCCAATCCATACCCAAGTCCTGTCCATTTAACTCCTAAATGTCTCTCTGATATGGGCATCTTCATCTCCTTGGCCGCCACTCTCACAGAGACACTATGAAAGCCTCCTGAGTGAGTCGGCCCCAAGTAGGGTTGGACTCCCCGAGACTACAGAGACAGAGGATGGCACAGGCCGTCAGTGCTGGGGCCTGCATCTGTTTCCACGCAGCACCGCGGATGGGATGGGCACTGAAGCCTGAGAACCCTAGTGCTGGCCAAGGTTGGTGCGGAGGGAATGCTTGCTCTGGATATATGGCGGGGCCTGACTGCCTCTCTGGCAGAGGTGTCTCAGGAGCAAGAATAACACATTAAAAATGAAAAGAATGTACTTTATATTTGCCCACACCTTAACCAGTTCTGCTATTTTTCACTTATTTTATCTAAGTTTCCATTTCATACCATTTGCCTTCTGTCTAAAGAGCCTCCTTTCATGTTTTCCACAGTGCAGATCTGCTAGTAGATCACTCAGCTTCAGTTGGTCAGATAAAGTCTTCATTTTGCCTGACTTTTTTAAAACACTGTCATCAGTAGGGAAGAGGCTTTTGCTTTTCATTTGGCACTTTAAAGACCTTGGCTCCATGGTCCTCTGGCTTCTACAGTTTCTCCTGAGAAGTCTATATCATTCCCACTTTTGTTCCTCTACATAATTGGTCCTTTTTAAAAAATGGTTTCATTGATTTTTTTAGAGAGAGAGAGAAACATCAATCAGCTGCCCCCTGCATGCCCCTTACTGGGGATAGAGCCTGCAACCTGGGCATGTGCCCTGACCGGGAATCGAACCAGGACCTCTCAATCCATGAGTTACATCCACTGAGCCATACCAGCTGGGTATATAATTGGTCTTTTTAAATTCTGGTTGCTTTTAGATTTTCTCTTTATCAGTGTTTCTTAGCAAATTCATTATGACATGCCTTGATATTCTTCCATGCCTGTATTTAATATACTCAATCTTTTCTCAGACTTCTTGAAAATATAGAATATAGTTACATCAGATATTTTAAGGTACATGTCTGCTAATTCTATCATCTCTGTCATTTCTGGGGTTGTTTTTTTAATAATGTTCTTTATTTCCCCCCTCAAATATGTATTATTTTGTTAGATTATAGAGATATGCCCACTTAAACAGGTTAACGATCATAAAATTATAACGATCATAAAATTTAATGTATAAAACAACATTTCAAGTCACATAGTTATAAGCCACCAACAAATTACTGATAAACACATAGGTCATCATATTTCAAGAGATACTTAACCATCTTTTTTTTTAAAAAAACTTTTTTTTTATTCATATATTAGAAAGACAGAGGAAGAGAGAGGGAGAGAGAGATAGAAACATCGATGAGAGAGAACATCGACTGGCTGCCTACTGCATGTCCTCCACTGGGGACCAAGCTCACAACCTGGGCATGTGCCCTGAATGGGAATCGAACTGGTGACTTATTGGTGCATAGGTCAATGCTCAACCATTGAGCCATACCGGCCAGGCACCATCTTTTTTGAAATTATGATTACATTTGCTATTGGGATTACAGTGTTAAAATGACTAAAAATTACTTTGAATTTTTATTATCTGCTCAAAAAATTAATAACTAATTATTCTTGATACGTGTGTGTAAGATGATTTTCCTCAGTTTTATTGATATATAATTGACATATAACATATTAGTTTTGGATGTAAAACATGATGCTTTGAAATACATATATATTGTGAAATGATTATCTCAATACGTTTAGTTAACATCCATCATCTCACAGTTATAATTTTTTTCTTATGATAATTTACTTTTTAAAAAAATTCTTACCCAAGGATATGTTTTTATTGATTTTTAGAAAGAAAGGAAGAGAGAGAGCGAGAGAGAGACATTGATTGGTTACCTCCCATATGCACCCCAATCAGGGATCAAACCACAACCTAGGTATGTGCCCTGACCAAGAATCGAACCCACAACCTTTTGGTGTATAGGATGATGCTCCAATTAACTAAGCCACCCGGCCAGGGCTAACTAACTTCTTTAGGTGATCAGTCATGTTTTCTTGGGCACTTGTATGCCTGCTAATGTTTTTCTTTTAATTTCTTTATTGATTTCAGAGAGAGGGAGAGAGAAGCAGAGAGAGAGACAGAAACATCTGTGAGAGAGAACATTGACTGGCTGTCTCCCGCATGTCATCCACTGGGGATGGGGCCCACACCCTGGGCATGTGCCCTGACCAGGAATCGAACCGGTGACCTCTTTGTACATGGGTCAATGCTCAACCACTGAGCCACACCAGCTGGGCGTGCCTGCTAATTTTTGATTGAATGCCAGCCATTGTGAATCTCACATTGTTGGAAAACGTATTCCTTTAAAGTGTGTTGCACTTTGTTCTGACACACCATTAGGTTATGGTACATATTTGATCCTTTTGAGGCTTGCTTTTCAATTTTGTTAAGGTGTTAGATTGGTTTTTGGTTTAGGGTGAATTTACCCCCCCTACTAAGGTGATACACTTCTGAGCACTCTGCCTGAAGCTCCATGTATTACAAAGTGTTTTCATTCCAGCTGGTGGAGCCCAACCATGTGAGCTCCAAGAATTGCTTGGCCTACTATTTCTCTGTGGCTCTTTCCCCATTACTCACAGGGCAAGCTCAGCTAGAGACCCATCCACCGCAGTCCAGTGCTTCTTCTCTGTGCAACTCCCTTCTCTCTAATATTCTTTTCCACAAATTCTAGTCACTTCGGCCTCCTTGAACTTCAATCTCTGTCCCTTAAACTCAATGAGATTGACAGGTTCTATTTGGGTTCCCTGTGGCTGAACTGCAGCCTGAGCAGTCTGTCTAGGCAATAAGTTGGAGCAATCACAGTTTCTCACTACTATTTCCCTTCCCCAGGTCACAGACCTGCATGTCTGCTAACCAAAGCCCCAGTTTTCCTCCCATATATTTTGCCTGGTTTTCTAGTTGTTAATGGTGAGAGGACAATTTCCATAACAGTAACCCTTTGTGGGTAGACACAGAAGTCCCTTATAATATAGTTTTACATTTGCTTTTCTGGGGCTCCAGACATTAGTCATTTTCATAGGAACTCTTGGCCTGGGGTTCCTATAACCATGTGGTGCTATGAATTTGGACCCCACAAGTATTCAGTACTGGCTTGAGGAATCATTAAATTTGTTTTTCTACCTAGAACCACCCCCAGGCAGATGACAAGTTTCCATATAGCTTCTCCATGTCAATTGGCGATATTTTTACTATTACCATTTTTTAACTAGGCTACCCTTTGTGCATCCCAGCTTTGTGCAAAGATCTTGGTGTACAGCTCCCCATTATGAGCAATCTGGGTTCATGGCTTCTGCTCTGGCACAGGTATTAAAACTAGCCCCAGGCCACAGGTACCATAGCTGGGTAATATTATTTTTGCATTATGGCATCTGTGCATATTTGATTTTTATGTATTTATAATGGTTTAGAAAATTTACCCTAGTAATAGCTCAGCTTTATGATTCTAATCTAAAATGTTTAATGATTGTGATTTTATGTTGAAGTCTTACTAAGTTTATATACAAATAAGTACATTTAAGGGAACTGAAATCTTTCCATATTTACATACTTAATTTTATAGGTAATTAAAGTTTTTAAGGTCTTGCAAAGTTTTTGTTTGGTAAATCAGACAATAGTACTTAAAATGGAAAGCAAATGTATTAATTTATAAATACAGTTTAACAAATTAAAGAGAATTTAGTTATACTATAAAGTATTCTCAAAATAACTTTTCTTAATAACTAGATTTTTGAATGGAAAAATGAGATTTTAAAGCTAAACTTCAAGAATTTATAACAATCTAGATTTTAAAATTTACCACTTTAATATATTGAATATTAATATTATAAAACTAAACTCTGAAGAGTCTTTTCAGCACTCCAATATGATCCTCTATGTGCCAATAGATCACATCTAGCAGGACACGAATTCATGAATTCCTAGAAGTTAAAAGGACCTTCAGCCTCATTAAATTGATAGATGTATAGTTTTAGTTCTTTTTACCCTGTAGAAACAATAGCCTTTTGCCTAAGACATCAAATCATAGTTGATTTAGTCTGGTCATTATAATGGCTGAAATAATTCTTATAACCATTTTATTGAGAAGTCTCAGTTTATAGAGATATGCATATGAAAGCCATTTTTTCCCCTTGCTGCCACCTTGTTCCAGGAAGACTCTGCTAGATCATAGGAATCTTAGTGATAGCCATTTGGATTTCCTAAGCTTTCACACAATTTCAGAATTTAGAACACACTGTTTTAAAATTGTGTTTTCACTGGATTCAAAATCCTTCTTGTTTTTGCCCCGATTTTGGCTTCAGTGGCATAGAATTGATAAATGGGTAGTGGGTTCTGCTAGCACACACCTCCTTCCCTACCTTCTCCCAACACTAGGACTCTGCTGCTGGTCCCAAGAGGGGTGCATTTAAGGTTCTGTATAGAGGTTTGGATGCCTTTAACCTGCACAGCTCCTTGACATGCAGAGCTGCCTCTGCCTTACCCCTTTCTCCTCTCTTCTGCTCTCCTGCTGGTGTCTACTTTCCCTTTGGGTTTTCTTGTCCAAAAGAACCCTTTTTGCTGAGGGAGGGAGTACTTTAGACTGCATAAGGTCAGCTGCCCTTCTTAGGGTCCCCTTGACCCTCAGGGATCTCATCAACTTGCCAAGCCTGCTAGTGAGATTACAGCATCTCGCTGCTGCCCAGTGTTCAGTGTCACAGTGATGGCATGGAGCACTTGGCTGGA